CATCCACTGATTGTAAACAAGACAAGAAAAAGTTTATGCAAATAAATTATAAACTGTCTACTTTTATTTATGTTTGCACCCTTGTTGAGGAAGGTAAATTACTCGATCTACAATCAACAAATTTAATTTTCCTACAGTTACCTACCAATGTACATGATCTCTCACTGATTTGAGAAAGCAAAGTTGCCAATTCGCTCATCAGTGAGACAATGTTAACATTGTCTCACTCTAATTACTTTGTCTCACTCCAGATTTGCAACGTGAAGGCACGAAATAGTGAGCGTGTAACATGCAGGCAACGTCGTATGCGCGCGAAGTACGTTGGCAGCACTGGCTGTAAATCAGCTGGTCAGCTGTTGTACTGTTGTATTTGTCACTTCACATTTAATGTTATATTAAAAGTTCACTTCTGTGTAAAAATAGGTTATGTTTCTTCACCAATTTATTTGTTTTATGGTAACTGTAGGAACACGAGTTCAAAGTACAATTGCCTCACTCGAGAAACCATTCCTCACTCGCCTATGGCTCGTGAGTATAGATTTCTCTCGAGTGAGTCAATTGCTCACTTTTCTCACTAGTTGCACAAATAACTATTATTGTAAATTAGTAGTTTTATTCACCGGAAAACTGTGTAAAATAAAAATAATCTTTGAAAAGTAAAATGGTATTGTGTTTCTTGCTTTGTCTTGCAAACAAGCTTGGAACCCTTTTATAATATTAAATTCGCTCACGAGTCCCCACGTTATTGTTTATTTTAGTAAACGTTCACTCTTTAAGGTACATCAAAAAGGTAAAATAAATTATTGTAAAATCAGAACAAGGTACAGTATTCGTACTTTTATATAAATTTTATCAATTCACATGCCCCAGATAGTAACAGTTAGTGTTAGTTATGTTCAATAACTAATGGTTTGATGGATAAGTTAGGAAAACAACACGATATTATAAGCCCTATCGAGCGTTAAGTCTCGACTACTACAGTCAATTCTTTCAAACAAACCATTTTACACGCGTTGTTGTATCTATATACGACTCCATATTAAAAATAAAATATTTATAACCCAGCACACAGGAAAATAAAAAAGTTACATTTTCAAATTTTAACTCCCTAAAAATATTTTAGAAAATACTGATTTTTGTGAAAACGTTTTTTTTCTTAAAAAATGGTAAGAGTTAGCAAAGATTTTAAGGATTTTTCACAGTCAGAAATTAAATTTTATACAAAACACTCATAGGCGTTTCCAAAAATGTTCACCCTCACCCCAAATACGCCACATATTTCTGACTTTTTTCAAATTGCTTGTACTTGGGAGGTGTTTTTGATTAATTATATTTTTTTTTGGACATATAAGTTATCTGTACTTTTAATGACCCAACTCTAAAGAAAAACTCACGAAAGCGTCATTTTAAAATTTTCACCCCCTCAAAATATTAGAAATAGTGTATTTACAAAATATTTCAAATGGCTACTACTTGTGCAATGGTCTACCATCAATCATTAACATAATTGCTATGTACTTTACATCTGACAGGATGGCATACTAAATACCCTAAATATCTAAGAAATTTGCATTATCAAATAATAACCCCCCTTCAACAAATAATTCCACCCCCCCCCAAACAGTTCTTGAACCACTTTCGTTGTGCTAAGGACTTTAGAAATTTTTTCAGTTATTATTCTTCGGTTATAACGAAGGAATACTTATGAAAGGTATACTAAATTCAACCCCCCCAATTTTTCTGTATAAACTTTCAAAACTCTAAAATCTTTAAATCTTAACTAATAATATCCTTAAATGTTAAGTCCCCCTCACAGATTTATAAAAATCCACCATTATTGTGTTAACTGCTTCAAATTTAACAGAGACTTGAGAAATGCTGAGAGTGCTATCTAGACCACTTCTATGTGTGCTACGGCCTTGAAATTTCCCAGGCTTCTTGGTGATGGTCTTTCATCCCCCTCTTAAATTTCTAAATGACGACTTACAGCTAGGGGAACAGGGGGCTTCGTCCCCTAGCGAGGCAAAGGCGAGTTAGTAAATATACTCTTTGCAAACTCTACATTACGATACTTAAGTAACAATTGCGTCTTTTAAAATACCAATCTAAAATCTGAGTTAAAACTATAATCTAGATTTTTTGCTCACTTAAGGAGATTTCCCACTTAGTTCCAGCTTAAATCAAATACATAAAAGATAAGAAACTACAAAAACTGATTATTGCTCAAGTATTGTAAAATTAATACAAAGCATACTTTATTTAATAACAAATTCAATGTAAAAACGGGATCACCTTGTTATCATCTCAATTAGAGGTCAAATTGTTAATATCAAATAGTAAATTAAATAACATTGCACTAACAGATCTTGATAACTTCTTATTGTAGCTTAAACACTATTCATTTTCTTGACGTTTGTTTTTTAAGGTTAATTTGTAGTTTACCTCATTGATACTTTCCCTCATTCAAATGAATAATCTATCAATCAAACATATTAACTGAGGAATGAGGAGTTGCTTTTCTAGTGTTAAAAACAGTTATTTATATACAAGTTTAAATTTAGAATCCTAATTTAAGTTTTTAACAAAAATATTTTAGAAGTAAACCAATATTAAAAACTCATCAATTTTAAATAATTTTCCATTATTACTGGGACGTTTTCCACGTGTCACACGACGGGTTTGACACACACAAAGGCAGTAAATATAGCAAAATTTACTAATTTAATCCTTCATTCAATCTTCGAGTACAATTTTAATTTAACTACATTCAATCCATATAAACTCCGTCACCGAACGTAGCAGCTTGGTGGTAAATCCCTTTCCACGAAAGTAGAATATGTTTAAGGGGCGAATTGAATATGAAAATGCTGCATATGATAACGACAACACGGTTTTATCGGAAGACGTAAACACCCCATATTTGACGCAGCTGCTGTAAGCCCATAACTTTCCCCGCATTCTGGCCTATCATAAAGCTGTATTTTGGCTTATCTTGGCCGTTGGCCAGGTGTCAAAAGTGTAATTCCATATATTCCCGATGTTTAAGAATATTTACAAATTTCTTAAAATTATTACATTTATTTTGTTTTGATCCTCCCATAATATAAATTATTGGTACATTTATTACCTGAAGGGTTTTAAAGGGTAAATTTTATTCGTAATTGCCCTATTTTAAAACGTTTTTATTAGCTCGCTTTCTTGTCCAGTACAAATTTTGCAATCAATTTTATACTAACTTCCCAATGAGCTAGAGACTTGAAACTTGAAACATATCTCACAGATGGAAGACAATGAAATATTATATAATTTAACTTTCATATTTCCCTTGGGCTACGCGGCCCATGGGCTTGTTTTTATTAACTCGCTTTCTTGCAAATTTTGATACTTCCCAAAGAGCTAGAGACTTCAAACTTGAAACATATCTCACAGATGGAAGACAATGCAATATTATATCATTTAATTTTCATATTTCCCTTGGGCTACGCGGCCCATGGGCTTGTTTTTATTAACTCGCTTTCTTGCAAATTTTGATACTTCCCAAAGAGCTAGAGACTTCAAACTTGAAACATAGCTCACAGATGGAAGACAATGCAATATTATATCATTTAATTTTCATATTTCCCTTGGGCTACGCGGCCCATGGGCTTGTTTTATTAACTCGTTTTCTTGCAAATTTTGATACTTACCGATGAGCTAGAGACTTTAAACTTGAAACATAACTCACAAATGGATGACAATGCAATATTATATCAGTTATACTCGTGCTTTGCGTTTGCAATGGGAGATCAGACATTTTAAGAAAATTTGGCTTATTATAATTGATGGTATACTTTAGTATGGCACATCTACTATAGCCATAATGTTCTACCACTGCACCTAAACAATGGAGAAGAGTTGTCTCACAGCTTTTTGTTGCTGCTTGGTTCAAATTAGCTGTTGTCATAAATGAAAAAAATGAATAGGGCTGCACCCTGTTGGTAAACCTTATGACCTTTTAATGCTATTGAATTTCATATAACCAACTTGTGTAGTTGATACAGCTGGAAAAATTATTTAATTCCTTAAATTTAATTCCTTTTACTAGGTTAACATTGGACACTCTAGAGCCACTGGAGTGGAGCACGAAATGATTTTTAAGATAAGAATATGTCTATATGTTAATCAGGAATGAGAGCAATTATCATACCAAATTTCAACCCAATCTGACCAGTAGTTAATGCGTGATTGAACTTCAAACAAACAAACAGACAAACAAACAGACAAACAAACAAACAAACAGACAAACAAACACGCAAACTTTCACATTTTAGGTATGATTACAAATTGTGATGGTGTCCTCGTTAAAGATGAGTATAGAAAGAAGTGTGATGATCTGTGAAGCTTTGTTACTGACTAGGACCAGCTGTTATATTAGCGAATGATCCATTAAAAGTAGCTGGGTACAGTTTTGAACCATGAAAATGCAAAAAAAAATTTGATTACAAAAATTTTGATTACAATTCAGTTTTTTATCGATCTTTAAACTCTCTAAACATAATGGAACAACTTCTATTACGTTTCTGTGAAAATTACAGCTAAAATTGTATTGAAAGGTTTGTGAGTTCCCCATAAAATATATCATAGTTACTCCTACCACCACCTACCTATAAGGGCTGTTGACAAAAAAAGAGGAATCATGTGTCAGATTGTTGATATCATTTTCAATGTTGATGCGCTTGCTGTTTTTTTCTTTTTCCCAAATTACTAAGTTTCTATGCCACATCCTCCATGTTGCAATTACATAATGGTTTCTACAATCAAAAGCTAACTTCATTTACTAACAGTTACATTAAGTCCAATTAATTACAATCCATATATAACGTAGTTTATTTTGAAGTTGAAATTAGTGAAAAATGTAGATAAAAAAAAAAAATACTGGTGTTACATTTGCATGTTTTAACTAGTTAAAGGGCGTGAGATATGAAATAGAATGAGAATAAAGGAGGAAGAAAAACACAGGGATATTCTGAGTATTTTATTTTTGAGAATTCATTGTAACGTAAAACACTTGAGCACAATAAATATTACGAAAAATATCAAATTTTATATACATTGTTAGGAAACTATAAAGCTAACGTTGCATAGACATTTCATCGTTGAATTCAGTGTGTCACTGGTAGGATATCTCTTTTGATACAATTTTCAAATCAGTAAATCAAATAAATGCCATTGAAAATCTAATTCAGAAGCGAGCTCTTTCTTCTGAAGTACAGTTTCAACTAACACTATTTATTTTGGAAATTTTCTGTCTCTTGGTTCTGTTTCCTAATCTAAATATTGTCTCACAGTTTAGTAAATGATTATAAAGAGTTAATAAAAAAACAGAAATAAATGTTTATTCATAGTAACAACCTTATCACCACTCATGGAGTAAATGTGTTTGCTGATATGGCAATATAATCTACCAATTAATAATATTAAGCAATATCGATACAATCTAAAACTAAAATTATTATTGTGGTAACAAAATAAACAATACAATAGCTAAAGGTGTGCTGAAAATTCAACACTTGCACAAGACAAAACAAAATATTTACAAACACGTTAAAAAGTATATTAAAACACAACAGTTACACATAGAGTATTATATAATTTGTTCATAGAACTTACAATAGGTATATATCATAGATATATGGGACCAAAATCACTGACTTTTCCATCTCATGGTTGTGGCATTGTTGGTGAATAGTTAATGTATAGTGAATTTAAGTTTTAATGCGAAATCAATATTTTAACGTGGTATTAGCTGATTGATAGAGCTGTAATTCAAAATATAAAAATTATTTTTTGTGAAAGTAATTAATTTGAACTATTCAACCATACCAAACCTCCGATGTACTAGGTCAGCAAACATAATACAACACAAACAACAAAATACACTGACAATCCGGAAATTACCTTCCGCATTGTTAACAAAAAACAAAAAAATTGCCAAAATGGCATACAATGATTCCCACCCAGGTCGAGATGGTTACGGCGACGCTTAGGTATAAGCGGCCAAAACATCCGAAGTTGGGTGGAAAATACCTAAACTACTATGTACACCCTCTCTGCCCTCATTGCTTACTGCAAATAAGTGAGAGAGGCGAAGAAAACAGAAAAACTTTTATCGATTTCCTAGCTAACTAGTATTCACTAGGGAATCCATGAAATTTTTTCTTAGCGAGATTTTAATTCATTGCCAATTAAGTAACTTCGTAAAATTTTGAATTTGGAAGAGTGTTTCTCAGTTTACAAACTGTAAGGGTGGCAGAACTGGTAGACCAGTCTTTGTGATCTTTCTGTTTTCTTCATGATTCCCTTCTTGTAGTACTGCCTGATAGACCTGGACAGTTTGTCGTAGTTCATGGCAGGTCTGTTCTTCCTCTTACCCCAGAGGCGAGCAACCCTGACGGAGTCTTCTATCTTGAACACTCCGTTGGTTCGGTCGAGCCACCTGATGCACGCCCCGTTGGCCTGAGGGTTGGCGAGGAGCTCCTTCAGGAACTGCCAAAGATGTATATGAGATCCTCCGCGACCCTTGGGGGACGAGCTTGAAGGCTGGGGAGAATCAGCGATGTCGTCATCCTCCTCATCTACAAACAAAATCAGGCTATAGTTTTATAGTTAAAATTCTTGTTGTGGCATTGAACGTTTAGGTTTTTCCAATATTTCTTCACCACAAAATAGTTGTTTGGGTAAATAAAGATGGGTGGCGTTTGGATTGCCAAATAAATACCACAAACCACTAAGAACAACCATGAACCCGTAAAGAAAGGAACATAAATATTGGGCATCTTAAAAACTCTATTAAAATATTAAATACTTTCCCAGAACTGTGATAACCTATGAGAGCAAAAAACTAAAATGGCACATTCATTCGTAGTACATTCACTGTATAAACAACGAATGAATTCGTCATACGTGTAATGAGTTTGACAACAATGGACATATACATCGTCGAATGTACTGAAGGTAGACGAATTAGATGATTTGAGATAACTGCCTTCATTCGGAATACCGTTTGTTATTGGAAAATAACAACCTAACACAAGTGAAGACATACTGTCAAACAGAGTAATTCAACAGATTAGTATGGAATGTATATAGTAATGATGAAAGCCATGACATCTCATTGCTAAGCAGTCGGAAAAGGAATATTAGGATTCCAAGAGACGACGGAGACAGATGGACTTGGACACTCCCCTGGACTGGTTTAGTATTCAATCCTGGACCCAAGTCAAGTCAGGTTCAGACCTGATCCATCGCGCAAATCTGAGAGTAAAATCAACACGGCGAAGGAGGGGGAACTCAAGGTGGTTAGGTCCACCCACTGGCCTTGGTGTAGAAGGGGGCAATGCGGAATCACCTATACTGACAATCCCTACTGCTCTGGCCTTGGGCTAAGAATAGCGCCCATAAATATAATATTGTTAGTTTAGAGTGAACTGGGTGTGGTTAGATAGACCTTGGAGTAACTGGATGTAAATGTACAGTATGTTCCATAACTGTGCTTATTACCAGGCAGGGGACAAAGAAGCAAAGTACTGAATAATGCTTTTCAATAAAAAAAAAATTGATCGTTGGATTTAAAAGACCTTAAAGGTATGTGCAAAACCTTTGAATATTGATACTACTGTAGACATTCCATCCACTTGTTTAAGTTGACGCCAGTTTTTTTTTTTACCAAAATTGTCGCAGTTCATGTAAGCCACCGACAGATAGTGCTGATCTAAATTATTAATTTCTGTCGAATGCACAAACCTTTTTGCCAAGTCAAACTGATGAAAGGACTTAGTGTGAGCGATAGCAACTGTTATGACCCCTCAACTATGTCAACCAAAAATAAGGTTTACAATTGGAATTTAGGCACTAGCTAATTCTGTGACTGGCTCACACAACTATCTTCTTTATAAATAAAAATTTCGTCAAGGTACCTGAACGCAAACATTAGACTGCCTTTCGCTCACTGCCTTGAGTTCACAGTGTATTTATCTACCATTTGAGCTGCTGGCGCACTTAATATGTACGATAGTTGCATCGGTTTTGAGGTAACCAAATTGTGTTAACAGGTTTAAAACGAATAACATTGCAAAATAAATTAACAAGTTAGTTTTAAATCTCTGACTTTAAGGAGTAATCCAAAACTAAGCGCATAAAATAGTTGTCAAAAACCATTATTGTGTGGACTGAAACGGTATTAACTAATATTATTTCATTACAGCCAGATTCATCGGTTAAATAAATTACTGTGCATATTGTAGTCCCCCCTAATAAGATTTCCTTCGTTTGCCTGACTTGTTTAGATTCAATTGAAATATTTTATTTTCCAATTACAACCATTTTACCATAGTCATTTTAGCGTTACAAAAGTTCTGTGTTTTTTTACCTTCAGAGGCGTCACCACAAGAACTGCTTGACTGGGTTGAAGTTTCCAATAGTCCCTGAACGTCCACACTGGGTCCCTGGATACAGGCGGCTTTCCATATCTCCAACTGAGCGTGTAAGAGGCTTCCACCCTATAAAAATATTGTGGATTAGTTTAATCAGTAAATTCTTCAACTATAGATACTACAGAGTTGTGGCTTGTCCTAAAATTAAAATAATGTTAAATTCAGTCAAATATAGAGCTGGACTGATTATTATTGAACACTTTTTGACAAAGCCAAACTGAAAGAAGTCCTTTGTATCCCAAAACCTACCAAGGTAGCAAAACCCAAGCGATAGTGTGGTTTATTTTATTTATAAAAAACAATTGGTCACAACTGGACCAAATTGATGGAATGTCTGCTTTGTCAAGGTAAAACATTTAAACAAAGAGTTTTCCTTATGTGTTTTTATAATATTCATTTGCTAGTCATGCTGTGATTTATAAATGTAATTAGGGAATTTTAACTAAACAAAAAAGTTGTGTATTTCAGTATTTATATGTGGTCTATGCAATAAGAGTGAAAGTCAAATGCGAGTTTAATCCTACCATTAATAAATTGCATTCAATCAAAAGGAAATTTGTAAAACCTTTTCAAAGTTTGAAGTTAATTGATTCTAGTTTATTGTATTTTCCTTGGACATCCCTACAAACAGATTGATAAATTCAAACTAAACTTTTCCAAAAATACAAAACACTGTTTTTAATCGACAAAGTTTGATTTTCAAAATTTGTATTGCTCTTTTTTGCTCCAAAATAACGAGAACTTTATTAAGTTATGTCAAATAAAAGTAAGTGTAAGTGTTTGGAACTTTGAAGACCTTGAAGAGAAAGTTTAGAAAGTGGCGCAGATCTTTGGTGGGGAGAGGACTGGTGTCCCCTTTGGGAGTCTTTGACCTGGTCGCCGCCGCTCTTTCTACCCACCGACCTGCCAAGGAAAACTACCGCGCTGCCACCGGAATATGAACACATTCTCACGAAATGATTCACAACGAGAACCGTAGATTCTTCGGATGACAATTAAATTGTGTAACTAGTGTTCGAAATGGCACTTTGCGCTCGCGTTACACATTATATTATTCCTACAGTTACCATAAATCGTAAAGCATACAAAAAAGTATTCTTCAAACACTATACAACACGTTGTTAGGTTATGTTGAATACAAGCGTTGATCGAAATGGAAAACACTGCATCATTGCTTATATTCAATCATTGCTTATAATCATTGCTTAGTGGGGGCAGCTGATCGTATCTTTAAGTGTTGCCAACTTATTTTCAAGCGTACACGTAGTACGTGCGTAATAAAAGCACACTGTTTTGTGTTGCTTAGTTGAAATGCTGGAGTGTGGCAAAAAATGAGTGCGGCAAAAGTAAGTAAATGCAGCAATTGGCTACTTTGCATGCTGTAATCAATGCCAGGAAGTCAAATTTTTCAGGTGACTGTAGAAAAAATAATTTTTTGATGTAATCTTTTCCAAAATGATATACAATTTTCTCTTATGTAAAAACAACATGGAACGAGTTCAATTCAAAGTTTAATATATAAGTATGGACATCGCATATTTATTTTTTCCACATACAGACAACAATTACAAACAATGAATATCTATTTAGCACCGACTCTTTACTCTATGATACTGAATCTCAAAAATATCCAATGAATAAATATTTTCTGAATTTTTAATATACCATAGATGATTTTTCAACAACTATAAAAAGCTTTATTTCAACAATCTAATAACGTTGAATGGTTTGTGCAGTTATTTGTCGATGAGCTCAATACAGTACAGAAGGAAAGACCGTATTTACGAGAAAAAACAAGCTTCCAATAATCCATTTAGGAATGCAGACAATTTCCTACTTCAAAGGCTCAGGATAATAATAGATTATCCGAAGGGACTTTTTCAATGCCTCCCTCTTTGTTTAGTCGTTTCTAAACTGATTTTACGACATTATATTTTTAATGAAATCTTATTCCACTAGTGCGTCTTGATCTGTTTTAGTTAACGAAATTTTATTAGTAGTCTACCCATAAAGGTTCTTGAAGAATTTTCATGTTGAACGTAGTGCTTTTAAAAGGCAACTTTCAACTGAAATTAAAATAATTCTTTTCTTCAGTAACCGAACAATAAAGAGTTCCTTGCACTTTTTTGTGGACGCAAAGTAGCTAATTGCTGCATTTATTTACATTTGCCGCCCTCATTTTACTTTGCCGCGCTCCAGTATTCCAACCAAACAACACAAATCAGTGTGCTTTTATGTGGCACGTAATACGTGTACGGTTGAAAAATAAGTTGATAACACTTAAAGATGCAGTACTACTACTACGATTAGCTGGTGCAGTGTTTCACAGCCTTTGAGTATTGGTACTACGACTTAACTGTATTCTCCTTCCTGTAATCCTATTGTTTTGGGTTGACATTCTATTTTTGTTCAAGTCTTGGATTTAACCTCACTTAAAAAGTGTTGTTTAGTGTTTGAAAAACTAATTATTTACATGCTTTATAGTATTTGCAGGGACAATATAATGTGTAACGCGAGCGCAAAGTGCCACTTCGCGCACTAAGTTACATAAATAACTATTAGCATACTTTGTAACTTTTAGTTTACATGGAATGCCTAAACCAACCTGCGGGGCTCTCTGTTGGAACTCCTCCTCTGTCAACTGGGCCAGTGTGCTTCCAGTCATGTTGAAATAGTCCACCACTGTCATGGGGAGATTGAACTGCTGAAGATTGTAGACCAACCATGCCTTAACATCCTCCACCGTCCATTGAGCAGGATCTGAAACAATAACACATTCACACTAAGACAAGATATATAGTTAGGGTATAAGTACTAGCATTGACTATAGTCAATGGTACTAGGTAACTAAACTATGAGCGATTTTCTAAATTATAATTTATTTTCCAACACTGTGTTATGACTACACTATGTTTAGAGAGGTCACGAGACTCCTCCTGGTTTGTAAACTATTGATTGACATTTACCTAACTATTTTATTTGCGAGGGAATGCCAAGATATTTCCACGATCACAAGAGTTTATCATAACATAATAAGGGTTGTTGTATATAGGAAATGTGAAAAATGTGTGCCATGATGAAGAAAAATTAATCTAATGTAGGTTTGGTAAAGTATATGATAAGGTAAATGTAGATTGATAGTAATTTGAAAACGGGACGAGTCTCTTTACCTTGAAATGTAGTGTATTCTCAAAACACATGGCGATGGAAAAGTCCATAAAGTGACTAGTTATAATTTGCTATTAATTAACTTTAACACACTATAGGCGAATCTATTACATTATATATCCGGTTCGAAGGCCCTTAAATTGCTTAAACACATTGGACTGTTTGATTTCCGTTAAACTTGTAACACAAAAGCTAAAATTATCATTTCACTAATAAAAATACAATAAATTAAAAATATGATGTTTTGAGCGCGGAACAAACCCCCCTCCTGGATAACCTAATGTAACCCAAACAATCCCAGGATATAGACTAGCGTCTTAGAACTAAAACGAAGAAAATTCGATCAAGTTCAATTTACCGTTGAACGGTTACTCCGGTACGATGAATCAGTTTTCTGGTTACTCAACCTCCATAGTACAAGCATATACCAGGACTCGGTTCACGGGTCCTCACTCCCCATGACTAAGAAGTCTCAAGGACTAGTCTATTCAAAGCTTCTTGCGTCACTGACTAAAGACACACTGTGTCTTTTGATTCCAAAGTGTCGAGACATGACAATCGAAGTTGTTGAATAGCTCGTCTAAAGTCTTCCTGGTGAGGTCATCGCCCATGTTTCCACCCGACTATTGTCTGAAGAGGTTGTAGGTGTCGGCCGCCATTTTGATCATTTTGTCTGTCAACATTCCTTCATAAAAGCCGCAGAGTCATTTGGTACCGCGATTTGATCTGAAAGCTCAGCAGCAAACACGTTGCTAAAATGAAAACAGTTGAAAACGGCATTGTTTCCGAGTGGTAGAGCTGCGATTCAATGCACTATGGAAATTCGTAAAGGGATTGTGTGGGATTTAATATTTGATGGATTTAAAATATACCTCAAATAGCCAATACACGTCATCAATATTTTACAGTATGATAAAAAGTATACTTGTAATATTCATTGTCAATACTCAACTTTTCGTTAGGACTTATATTTTTAGGGTCAATACTACGTAAATTTTAAATATTTTTGTGTGACATCCCGTTTGGCGTTGTCTAGTTATTTCACTAAATAAACTAAAAAATAAATTGGAGGACATAAACTTTATTTTATGATAGTTGAATCTAAGTTCTCACTTTTTGATGGGTTTCATAAAGATAAACTCAAATGGAGACGTAACAGTCTGATAAGTACGACTATTAACACTTAACACTTTGTCAGTTTAGTAACTCCGAAATTAATTTTCCAGAAGATTTGTCAAACCAGTTAACAATTCATCTAAGTTTCTCGTATTTCCAGATTTACTCTTCAACAATACAGCAGGAAGACGAATAATGAGGAAAGTTCTAAATCATTCTACTTTGCTCGCGTTCTGAGGTGCTTTACTTCGAAACATACGAGTGAGAATCAATCAGAATATGAGTACCCACTTCAGATGTTTTGATTGATTACATACTGGAGAAATTATTGTTTTACTTAATACTTCCATCGAGAACCATCGATCCCAAGCTATTAATTTAGTTTTTGAATGCTCTTTGCAAAGAAAAATCTATAAATCCTATGAAAAAAGTCATTAAAACTACACTTTCTAAAAATCACTTTCCAAATCATCAATCCTACTCAACTTATAGTTAAGTAACCTTAATCGCCGTTAAGGCTTTATTGAGACAAATTTTTCATTTTTCCGTTAATGAAAAAATCTCGTTGATCCTTTCCCACCAAAAGTGAAGAAAAATAGCATTTGGTCAGAGAGAGAACAGTTGTAGAAGACTTCTGGAGGAGTATTTTTCTACAATCGCTATTTACTGGTCAGACCGCAGTGGACTGACTGGTTTATCTGTCCCACTTTCTTCTCAACTCGTTGACCGTTAGCCACTTCCAGCACAACGTACTAATTGTTTCTCCGTTTGATTGACTCCTCCAGAAGAATATCACGGATAGTAAATATTTAGAAGTGTAGGCCCACATAGAAACATATAGTAGCATCAATTTGGTAATGCTTTCGGTTGTTTCAAAATGTTTTAGTTTGAAATCCTTACTCGTTGCCGTTTTTTCAATTTCCTAACCTCATAAATTTTTTATCAAAATCTGGTATTATTTCAAATGTTCCCAAGTCAAGGATTTATTTCCGTAAAGGATTTAAACCCAAATCACAGAACAATGAGATTTACTGATACAGTTTTCTGACAAAGTGGACTTTGCACTGATTACAGCACGCTAAGTAGCTAACAGGTACGTTTACTTAATTTGCCGCAATAACTTTTTTCCGTACTCCCTTTTGTGCCACACTTCAGTGTTCTAACCAAACAACACAAAACAACGAGCTTTTATTAGGCACGTACGCATGAAAATAAGATGGCAATTAAAAATACTACGACTAAGACCAGGTGCAGCGTTTTCCCATTTCATTCAACGATTGGATTTAACCTAACCTAAAAACTTGTTGTATAGTATTGTAAAGACTAATTATTTATATGTTTTATTGTAACTGTAGGAAAATATAATGTGTAACGCGAGTGCAAAGTGCCTTTACTGCACTCGACTCGCCTGCGGCCCGTGCGTAAACGTTTCTCTCATGGACGACAAAGTGCCACTTTGCACACTACAATAGTTACACAAACTATTACCAACAAACTTGCAACAAGACGTAGTTTGTCGATTACATCAAATGCGGAGATGTTTTTTGAATATGCAAACCGCTCTGCCCACCGGTGGAATTCCCATCGCAGGGCGTTTGTACCCGTGCCAACCATGCATCCGCCAACCAAGGTCAGCTATTGGCCCAGGACCATGTTTGCAACGCGATTTTGGCCATATCACCTAATTGGATCAATTTTGACTAGACCGGATTTCAGCGGGCGAAGTACTCTTGGCAAATTTTACGGGCCTGGCAGTCGAGGAGTTCTTTTTGCAGCATCGTAGTTTTGGAAGAAAGTGGAGATATGATGGTTGTTTGAGTAAATGCATTTGATTATGGTGTATAATCTTAATAAAAAAGGTAATATAAAAATCACATCTATTTCAAATGGTGTTTCAGAATGTTGTTGAAGCGTTTTATACAACACTTCAATGACGAAACCGTGCTGTATTTGAAAACCCTAATAAAAATTACTTGTTATATTGCATATAAATCTTGTAGTACTGTAGCAGATACTTCTGAATAGAGCAACGTACTTTGTCTAAATATTGTATTTTGGTGAAATAGTATCTGTATTTAATTGGCTGATCATATCCTATCCCGATTCTTTAGTTATTAAGTTTATTTAACTTTCCACTATCTTACAAGCAAAACATCTTAAATACACACTTAAGGTTTATTACTTTGATCAAGTGTTAATGTGCATGTTTCATCCTATGTTGAGCATTTTGTATGGTAGACCCTCTGAAACTTAAACTGTCATTACACAATTTGAAACGTCCCAAAAACATAAAATTTGTAATAGGCTTATAATAGATTTTAAATACAAATTTTTAGCCTTCATCAACAATATCAATTACTCCTTAAGTGTGTGCTATTTTGATAATTTTGAACGCGGAAAATTAGTTCATAGTAAACAATTCCTTGACATATCTTTTTTTTTGCTCAATTGAGCTTGAAGTATCAAAAAAATTGTTTGATAGGAAGTTTGAATTCAAAACCAATCTAACCAATTTATCAATGCTCGAATTGCTTGATTCGCCAAAACAACAGATTCGCGCGGGTCTGGACAATCCAATAACGATCAAAAGATTAAACTGCCAAGGCCTATTGAACTGTGCGAGCATCCGTTATTAAACTGAGAATTAAAGGCAACACTGTATCGATTGTGTAGCTTTAAGACCGAAATTGGACTCTCGGTAATGTTTATTTGACGTTTAAACTATATAATTGTATCACGTAAACCTCCTCTTGATTGAATTGGACAAGAAAACAGACAAATAAAAAACACAAGCTTTAACTATGACACTTTAAGAAAAAGCTAAATATATTGAGCGTTAAGAATGCATGCCAAATAGACAACCATTTTAATATTTTGGGTAGAGTTCCGTAGAACCTACGACATGTCATCGGATGAAATATTAATGCGATATAAATATCGATTAAAATATTGTATTCTACATAATTATTGAATGAAGATATTGATTTTCGGTATGGCCCTTTTCCAAATTAAAGGCCTGCTGCAACTCTTTTACAGCGCGCTGTGGCGTTTAAGTTTTGTTAGGTTAGTTTTGTTCAGAGGGCAATGTGCTTTAAAATATTCGTATTTAATAGATATTTTATATCTATATCGAATGAAAAGTATATCGAATACGCTATTTATATATCACTATTTGTTATCTGATAACTATCTTAGGTTCTCTACGGAGCTGTACCCTAGTCAATGCATATTTCTGGGTACTCACCCATAGCGATGCCCAGCACAGTGCAAGTCTTGTTGAGGTCCTCCTTGAGCTGCTCTATAGCCAGGGACAACATAGGTTCGATCCTGTCTTGAGCGATATCCACCCCGCACACCGCACCCTCCGGAGCCCCTGATCCCTGGGGAGCTTGCGACCCCTGCACCTCCTCTCCGTTAGTCTCCATCTTCACGTCTGCCTTGAACGCGGTGCCGAGGCCCCCGATGTCGAAGGGCTTCAGATTGTATTTCCTCTGGAAGCTAGTGTCCTTGAGAACCTCCCGCAGAAGTCTATGATCAGACTCCTTCTTCTCCTGTTTGAAATCGTTGTTCTCAAGAATATTCCTTATGATCGAGTCTTTCTTCTTCTCGGGGAAACAAATCTCCTGGAGGTATTTGGACTCTTGCAGGATCTCCTCGAGGTTTATGGTGATCTCTTGTTTGACCTTGAACAGCGGTTCAGGCTGAGGGGAGGCCGATGGGCAATACACTGGGGAAGAGTAGGTAGAATGGGTCGGAGAAGACTCCCAGCTCTGGTAGCCTACGTCTACGGACCCGGGGAATTCTTCTTTGATGGATTTCAAGAGGAAGTCGTCTTTTTCTCCGGTGGGGGAGGGGAACATAGGGGGTGGAGACAGGGTGTCGTAATAGAAGCTCAGGAACTGCTGCTGTTGGCTGGGGACTTCGCCGTCACACGGGAGAAGTGAGAGGTCGAAATCTGCAGCGAAGGAAGTGGAATAGTCGTACACTGACGGCACGGTCTGAGGCATCTGTAAAAAACCGAAGGAAAATATTAGGAAATGTTTAAGTTATTGGCACCAACCTCTCATGTTTTATCTATAAAAGTTCAATGGAAACTAAATTCATAATTCATTTATACATCCAAATAATTAACTTAAACCCGGATCATGACACATACATCATCGGAACATAACACCGACACTACAACCTAATCAAACAACACCTCCACCAACGTACAACTGAAGAACCTACAAAATCAAAGTTTTCACTCCACGTTCACAGTCTAAGAATGTAACATAAGCGTATACTCAAGCACCAAATGGAAGTGATAAACATTTTACACCTCTTATAAGTAAAACGTTGCGTCAAACATTGAATCTTGACTCTGACGGTTCGAAACAGCTGTTTGGTTTTACTGACGTTCTGGAGTGACGTCACACCTACGTAGGAAACATATGTTCGGTTCTGTTCACATGTGTACAAGTCACGCCCACAACTGCTGAGACAGTCGTGCGTGCTTTACAAAACAACTAGCGCAAAGTTGACGTTTGTGTTTCGGCTATCAATTTTAAATCAAACTAACTAAACACGGATGTTAATTGGAAGAAAAATAGATAGTTAAATGTTAAATTATATACTTGCATTTTGACACGTATGGCTTATAAGTTTAAAGTAAATACTTAAATTAATTTTTTTAAACTAAAACAATGGCTTTTTTATACTCCATTTCACCCATACAAAACGGTTTAGCGTAAAAAATACCACTGAAAGAGCATTCAAAATATCAATGTATAAACATACATAAATCTTTGCAAAAACCACTTATGTATGGCTAACCCAAACGACTACTAATAACATTTTCTGTACAAGAGTGAAGAACACTTAAGATGATTCTAACAAGCGAAAATAACTTGCCAAAAGTAACACTATAACACTAGGCAACACACACAGTCAACGTATAGTACACTCTACTTACAAGCATATCTATCCTACATGAGAAGAAGTGAGTGGTAGTGAGTGGTGAGTGGATGTGAGTGGACCCGAGATGTGAGTGGCTGAACGGACAATCGGACTAATTTGTTTGTGATCGTTACTGTTTTGCTGTTGTGCGTAAGATAAGTGCCGCTGGCGATCTATAATTGCTAGCTTTCACTGACGTCAGCGATTTCTGTTGTTATGAATGACTTTATCATAAGCTACTGAAGACTGACTTACCAGTTATAAAATGCTCCCCCGCGTGATTTTTGCCGAACGTGTATATTTAATGACATATTTTTGGAACCTCGTGTATAATTGAAAAATTTTGAAATTTCCAAAGGTTTGTGTGTGTGTGGAGTATATTCGAAGTGTTAAGTTTTACGGAATTGTGTATTGTTTGTAAATGTTTGTGAGTTTGAGAGTTATATTCCCTATCAGCAGGCCTCTAAATTGAAATACACTCGCCTTGTGAGGAACTCCCGGCACTGATCACTGTTCACAATAAAGATCTGGCGATTAAATTTTGAACCGACGCTGCCGAAGGTGAATATAAAACTAAGGTTCTTCTTTGTGCCGCAGTTTCGGTCCGCCATTGGCCATTGGATCCTCCAAGGTCAGCCGCCATTCACTCCACTCCATTCGTTGGGTTTTCCGTTCACGTAATCCTCCATTACAAGGATCATTGTTGACCGGGCTTCCCCGCCTCCATTCTCCATACATCACCATACATTGTTGTTCTTCATATGTCTTCGTTAACATTATCTGATCTGTCTCCATGGTCGTACGTTTACTGTTCAGGGCCTCGAGATGGACTTTCCGAACGTGATGTCTCCAAGGACATTGAAACTGTCAATACGTCTATTTGGTGATGTAAAATTCTGTATTTAAAATTTAAGATTGTGGTTTCGTAGTTTAAGAACTCTAAACTGCGATTTTTGCCCACAACATCTGCTTATTTTGCAAAAGGGATAATTATGTAAAGTGTAATACTTATCTCTAATTACCGCCTTATATTAAGCCTTCATAAGCGGTTTTTACACTAACACATTGTTTACTGTATTTGAAAACTAGCAGAGCACCCGTCCTTTGTACGGGGTTGTCATATAAGTATAAAATGCTTATTGCAGTTATACTCAAGCTTTGCGTTTGCAATGGGGGGAGGACACAGTTTGATAAAATTTGGTTCATAAATTTACGGTATGATATAGTATAACACATCTACCATTGCACCTAAACAATAGAAAACAATAAATTATCAAACATCCGCACAATATCACAAATTATTCATTAAATTAAAAACTCAAACCTAACTGTAAACAATCCTTTTTTAACAGTTCGGATTGTGTATCACAGCTTTTTGTTGCTGCTTAGTTCAAATTAGCTGTTGTCATATATGCACAAACAAAAAAATAATAGTGCTGCACTTTGTTGGGAAACCTTATAACTTTTTAATGCTATTGCATATTATAGAACCAACTTGTAAAGTTGAAACAGCTGACTAAATTCTTTAATTCCCTTTAAATATGAATACTCATAGGGTTAACATGGGGAACTACAGATCCACTGGGGCAGAGCCCGAAAGGATTTTTGAGATAAGAATTTGCCTAAATGTTAATAGGGAATGTGAGCTATCATCATACCAAATTTTCGCCCAATCCGTCCAGTAGTTTATGCGTGATTGAGAAACACACAAACATACACACAACCATGCACACAAACTCACAAACTTTCAGATTTATAATATTAGTAAGATTAACACAAGTGCTCAATAACTAACAGTAATATAATTTAAACATGTGTGTCAAAGAAACAGTATAGGGACTTACAAATTCGCGTTTAAATTTTTGTACATCGAGTGATACATAAGTTGATTTATATAGAACTAAATTTAAAAGTGAAATGATGTACGGCCAAAAATATTGTGAAGATTCATTTTATATTGATAACAACTCAACTTAGCCAAAATAATTTGACTGCATGGTATATGAGCACAAATATATAAATAGTGTTTACAAATATAGACGGATGTGTATTCGGAGGTTTAAAACGTATTCCTAGAAATGTAGAAATCTACCAAATAAGAGGAAAGATTGAATATTCCCGGAGGCGTCTGGGGAAGATATTATCCGCCCTCAGAAATGCTTGATATCTCCCCTGGTAGCCTTTCTTACCTTCATCCGAACCAAAGGCTTCGGACAATTTTGTATACCTCCAGGCATTTAAATGTTGTATATGGGATGTTTTTTGGATATAAAAAGTAATTATTTGCAGTGACTACAAAGAAAAGCTGTCCTGAGGTAATTAAGAAATATAGGTTCTGGTAAGTAAGAAAAAGCTGAAATACACGCACGTTTGTACTAATTAAGACAATTATTTACATCACATTTTAATTACCACAACGAAACAGTTTAAGAATGTCTACTCCGAATTCCGAATTATTTTTATTTTTTACCGATAAAGAAATTGTTTCACCACTCAAATTATAAATATTATTGAATTGGTATTTACGTTAACATCATAATTTATAATTTCTTATTAAAATACGACGTTTATAAATCTTTTTGTTCTTTGATCTGTTGGAACAAATTTTACAGGGTATTTTTCAGTGACTCAAGGTAATATTCTAAAACACTAAAGTACCAACAATTTTTTGTTACTATATTTTAACAACTTAACTGGTTCATGGTCTCTAAAACAAAGCATTATCCAGTGAATTGAAACGGGTAGGATGGAGCTCAACCAGACATAAAACCGCCAACAATAAATCAAGGAGGATGTATTGTTATTTAACCTCATAAAACCAAGTGTTTATATAGGCAATATTATAATTAACTACAGTATCACACGAATTTATCTTACGAAGCTTTCCTTAGACAATCGTTGGAAACCCCAAGACCGCAAAACGTCATAAAATACGTCATATTTGTAAGAACGTCATATTATCGTAAGATTTTGCACGTCACAGTCAGGTTTGCTCCACGATTCTGGCTCTATTGTCATTAGGGAATTCAGTGTAGAAGGGAGAACCAATAGTCATCAACTGCTATAACTTACGTCATTAGTTGTGACGTTGTAAATGACGACCTAAGGTGATTTCCTACGTACGTTGGAGTGTAACGTCACAATGGGTACGTCAACATGTCTGTACACAAGTATGTTTGATCAGCTGCAAGTGTTTGACAACGTCTCTAATTAAAAGTAATCATGTACCATCTGTTAGCAGAAATGAATGTGTCTTGAAATCTTAAAAAGTGTACATAGTATTTTTTAAGGATTTTTTGTAAAATATTTTCGAGTTTGAATTATGAAAAGTAGGGTTTCACAGCAAAAAAGTGATCTAATTGACAATAACAGCCTCCTGTTGAGGTAGGGGTAAGATTAGGGGCTAAAACGTGGACTTTGATTGGAGTTTAGGATGGAAGAACACAGAAAAGAGGTTTTCAAAGTGATGTTTGTGTATGTATGTGTGTGGATGTGTGCAGCTATAGACCACACCAGTTACCACACTATTTTGATGAAATTTGTATGTGGGTATCTCCGTGGTATCTCCAGGTGGTCTATTCATTTTATTTTTTAAATTTAGATTTATTATGGTGATTTTTATAAACACCGATTTAATAACGGGAAAACTAGATTTTAAAGCGACTCGAACTATTTTGATTGGAATTTAGCATGTTAAAGCCAATATAAATATAAACAAAATAGTACAACCCCATTGGTGTAAAAATTACGGTTCAAAAGTTATTGCAATTTATATGATTTTTATTTACTATTAGTATGTAATACGTTATTGTGTAGTTTGTTAGAATCTTTTGATACTTCATTCCAAATCTTAGCTTATTTATCAATGAATTTGTCTAATATCGTTTATTTTGGAATAGATTTTCACTATGAAATACATACGTTGAATATATTAAGTGTAAAACTCCATAGCGGTCTTTTCCACCGGCTTTCCCTGGACATCATTAACACTAACTAATCTGTCTTTGTATATAATGATACCATCAGGGCATTAGGAGCTGATAACATCGGATAGACACAAATAAGCTGA